AGCTGCGCGCCGGCGCCGTGGTGGCCGTCCCCACTGACACGCTGTACGGCCTGGCCTGCTCGGCGAGCTGCTCGGAGGCACTAAGCGCCGTGTACCGCATCAAGGGCCGCAACGAGATCAAGCCGCTGGCCGTATGCCTGGGCCGCGTGGCCGACGTCTACAGGTGAGGCCGCCCCGACCCGGCCCCGCTGGGGGCGGCACCACGGGAGGGGTTTCCGGTGACAGGCTTGGGAGACTGAGGCGCAGAGAGCGGGAGGGGCTTGTCCAGGCTCACCCAGGAATCCGGAACTGGAACTGTGTATGGAGTACTTAGCGTCTGCCAGTCCTCGAACGAGATCAGGGGCGCAGCGATGAACGAGGCAGGCGGGGTCCCTGTTCTTCTGGCGCTTTTGTGGTAATAGGGGGACTCCCACGGTTTAAGGGAAAAGTGGGGGACACGGTAGCTTAATTTAGTAGGGAGTGCCGTGAAGAAAATACAACACGGAGTGTGCTAGTGATGCAGCTGGCCTCGGAGACCAGAGGCAGGTGGACTCCAAGCCTGGGGTGCTCCTCTGAAGCCCCACTTTCTGCTCAAGCTTTTGGGAGGTGAAGAGGGAAGACAGGCGGTCTCATTGTAGTCCCTGAGGTAACCTCTACTAGATCTGCCTGGAGTCTGGAATTGGACTAGCAGTACTTTTCATTTGGTTGAATTTGTGCCCCTTTTGTTTTCTAGGTACTGCCATGTGAGAGTACCTGAGGGGCTCCTGAACGACCTGTTGCCAGGACCAGTGACGCTGGTGATGGAGCGCTCAGAGGAGCTCAACAAGGACCTGAACCCCTTCACTCCTGTGAGTCAGACTTCCTCCTGTGTCCCCAGGCTCCTTCCGTTTGGCTTTCACTAGGATCCAGGCCAGACCCCTCCCCCACCCCTTCCAACCTTTCTGACGATCCCCTTTCTCCGTACCTCATAGCTTGTAGGCATCCGGATCCCTGATCATGCCTTCATGCAGGACTTGGCCCAGGTATTTGGGGGACCACTTGCTCTCACCAGCGCCAACCTCAGCTCCCAGGCCAGCTCTCTGAAGGTCGAGGTGAGAATTACCCAGTCCTCCACGTGGAAACATCACTAGGTCACAGTTCCTCTGAACCAGAGGGGTGGATGGTTCAGTAGAATTGCCTGGCAGGAGAGTCACTCTTTTGGTCTAATGGTGGGAAGTCTGCCCACTTAGGGTGGGGGAATCCAAAGTAAAGAATCTCAGAAAAGTTTTATAAATTTTGAGAGGTGAGGGGAGATGATATTTTTTCAGTCTTCTTAAGGTTAAGACATGTAAGTATAGTCTATTTTTTTCCCATTTTTGTGAGGGTAGCAGCTGTTGGAGAACAGAGTTAGGCGGTAAGTCTTTATAAGTCGTTGTAAAGAAACTTAAGACTCTGAAAAGTTAAATCACTTATCCCAGGGACTCCTGGTCCTGTTCTCTTACCTCTGCCACAAGCCACGTCAAAGAAAGGATCATCCTAATCCTGTCTTGGCTGAATAGCTTAGAATGAATGAGGACACAAAGCAGTTTGACTTAGCACACTTCCTTCTTACTGAACTTAGATGTGGAACATAGTAAAGTGATGGGGTTTCCATGCCCATACCTATTGAGAGTGGGTCGAGGGGCTTTGGTGAGAGCCCAGTGTCCCTTCTTATTTTCAGACTGCAAGCTTTACTTGGTCCTGGTGGCTATACCCTAGGCAGTAGGGGTGGTGAGTCTTACCTTTTCGGCAAGTAGTTGACCCATCCAAGATAGTAACTGGTATTTATGATCCCCCATCCCAAATTCCCAGGTGCAACTGCCACTGCAGTGTCTTCATGACAGGTTGGGGTGGGGAGTGGTGCTCTGGCTCAGTTAACAATTCAGTCCACAGTTCTGAAGGGAAAATCTTGCCCTAGCTCCAGGCTTGGGCACGGATGACATGCACTTACAGAGTCCACCCAGTCTTTCTCTCCTACCCTGATCCAGAGTTATACTGAGATCTAGGATCAGAGTGGTAGAGCTGGAAGGACCGTTAATGACCATCTAGTCCAGCCTCCTTCTTTTACAGCCCCAGGTAAAGTAACTTGCATACAGTCACACACAGTTTTGATGGAAAGTTGAGGGGGGAGCCCACAGCTCTGGACTCCCCGCTAGGACTCTGATCATCGCATTTATAATTCCTGAAGTATAGCAATATGGGGCATTTCCTCTTGGCATAGCAAGGTTTTCTTTATGCTCTAAATACATGTTACTTGGGGTGCTAACCTAGGGGTTGGGGCTCCAAACCTCATAGGATGCAGTGTCCTAGGTGCAAATGCAGTGTCCTTGCTACAGGTGACCTTAACTAAATGAGGTTCCTTCCCCTGCATGGAGGAAGATGCCTCCTTTTTAGAGCTATGTGGCCTTTGTCTTACTAATGAGCCCTGGGCAGTATGACAGTGTTGCAGATGCCAGGGGTAGTATCCATGCTCTTTCTCTCCCTCTTCTCAGGAATTCCAAGATCTCTGGCCTCACTTGTCTTTGGTCATTGATGGGGGACCAATTGGGGATGGCCAGAGCCCTAAATGCCGACTAGGCTCTACCGTGGTTGACTTGTCTGTACCTGGAAAGTTTGGCATCATTCGTCCTGGTTGGTGAGTCTCCTTTCTGTGGCACTGGGATAGGATTTGAGGGAGGCTAGCAGCTGGGGGAAAAAAAAGGAAACAAAAGCAAAAAAAAAGCTTTGATAACAAGTTGTCACTCCTGTCTTGCCCCGAGGTGAGGGTAGGCAGGTTTAGAGAAGTGGTGGGTGGAATGGAACTAAGTTTGCTAGCCTTTGCTGGATTTTTCAGGATTCATCAAGGGTTTGATGAACAGAGCATAGGAAGATGGAAGAGTTTAGAGGTCCCTGATCGCCAGACTCTGGCGGGTCCCAGGCTTTGAAAAGTCAAACCCTAACTGTCCTCCATTTCATCCTCAGTGCCCTGGAGAGCACTACAGCCATCCTCCAGAAGTATGGGCTGCTCCCCTCACCCTCACCCGGATCCTGCTCCTGAAGCTCCTGAGGAGGGAGGGCCCAAGGACTGGTGCTGGACACTATGTGTCTGTCTTCTGGTGGCTGGCAAGGCCTCATTTGCAGAGGCCGCTGGGGCTACAGTGTTACTAGTCTGCCTTTTCAAGGCAAAGTTTCTTTCCCAACACTGCAGACCCGGCCTCTGAAGCTGCTGGTTAAGCTCACACCTTGGTTGGAGAAGTTTGATGTATTATCTGTAATTTCATGTATCAGCCAAAAGCTGAATAGACTTGAAGAACATTCCCAGGAGGGCCTTGTTTTGATAAGTTTCTTCTTCAGATTTTTGAAAAATAAATAACAAATTTGGAATCAAGTGAGAGCCTCTTCTCTGGTGGGTGGTGGCATTTAAGGCCCAAGCCAGTTAAAGCACCAGCTGGTGTTTTTAAAAGTCTCAGGTGACCAAAGGCATGAGTCTCTACTCCTAAAGCGGGAAGCAGGTCAAGATAAAGATTGCAGAGCTTCCTGTGAACCAGGGGTCCAGTGCTGTGCTGTAACTGCCTGGCAGAGGCGTCATTTTGTTTTAATGGTGGGAAGTAAGCTCAGCTGGGGGGAGGTGGGGATTGCGGGGGTTCCAAATTAAAGAATATTGGGAAACAAAGCTCTACTATCTTTTTCAGCCACTTTTTTCTTATTTATTCATAATATGAATTATAATAAATTATACCTGTAAAATCTTTATTTAAATCCAGTGTCTACTCAGCAGCCTTTATCTTTGTTCAGATGTATACCAAGTGTTAAACATAATTACTGTTGGGTGTTTCAACTTTGTTTTTTTCTTTAATAGGAAATAATACTGCTTTTAAACATCTTTGTAAATGCTTTATTTTCTTCCGAATTATCTCCTTGGGGTAAGGTTACTGGGTCAAAGTGTATGGACATTTTTATGGCTCTTGATACAGATTGGCCTTAGAAGAACTGAATTAAGTTGCATTGCCATCAGCAGTGCGTGAGAATGACTGCCCCTGCCCCCTGGTCTTAGCACATTTCTTGTGTTTTGTGTATATATGTCAAACGAAGCCTCAGTGTTACTCCCTTCTATAAATTACTCCAGGTCACCATCCAGCACTTTTCACCTATCCCCACCTGCCTTGATTTCCCCAACTAAGTCACAGTGAGGGGTCCAGGTCTGCCCCATCTGTTGGTGGGGTTTTAGTATCTGTTGTCTAATGAGCTGGGGGTCTTTGAGACCAGGAGGGCCCACGTCCTCACCTCCCACCTTGCACCCCAGGTTCCAGAGTTGGGATTCAGTCTTGAGCCCATTAATTTCCCAATACAGTGATTTCCAATGTACAGATTTTCAAGTAGATCCTAAGAATCTTGCCAACAGAGCGTCCAAGGGCCTGCTTTGAGGGTCCCTGCAATTAGCATATTAGTTTATTTATAAAAAAAATTGGTTTGTTAGATTATTCCTTCTAGAAATCTTATTTTAAACTACTAATTCCTTAAGCAATCTTGCACTGTGGCCAGCCCATCCCACATGTCAGTTTGTCACAGAATCTGACTGAGGGGGTCAGAGTTTGTGAAGTCTTGAAGGGAGCAAGAGGAAAGCTGACTTAAGAATCAGAACACCACATCATATTCAATACAAATCACAGCAGCACTGAAAACGGCTCTAGTGAGAGGGCCTCGTTCAGTTCAGACAGCTAAAGGGAGAGGGGAGTCCTAGTCCTCTCCCTGGAGCTAAATATCCATTCGGGAAAACGGAGGCTCTGGAGCACAGAGGTATTTTCTTAGAGGAGAAAGAACTGAACTCCCAGCACTGGGCAAAACTGCAAAAAGGAAATGCCTATAGCCGTGCTTAGGCACTAGCTACAAGGCCACACCGAACAAGGGAGGTGGGATCCTGTAAGCTTAGGAAGACAGGAACCATTCCTGGTCAAGGTTTCCCCCAGCACCTGGCACGTCGTAAGGTGCTCGACTGGTGTGTGTTGTGTGAATGTGTGAATGCTCAGGATTATTTCCTGATAATTGGGTTCATAAATCTACTGGGAAGAGCTTAAACCAAGAACTTCCCTTTTTAGAAAGTCTCAAATATGGTTCCCTAACTTGGGGATGACAGAGGATGTGGGAAGAAGGCCTGGAGAGGACACAGGCTGGCAGAAGGAAGCGGGGTGCATGCTAGCCCAGAGCCCTGACATCCTTCTAAGAACAGTGACTTGGTGACTCAACGACACCAGCTGAGTTCCAAGCTAGAAGGGATTATTTTTAAAGTGTTCTGACTGAGGATGTGGAGCTGCCTTGGGCTAAATCCAGTCACCTGCCAGCTCCTGGGGTTCCCTCTCTGAATACCACCTAATCTCCTGTCCCTGCAGGGCACCCCGGCACCACTTGCCTAAGGAACTAGCTCTGTTCTCCATGGGCCCTGGCTTGATGGGCCCAGAAGCACCCAACCACACCCAAGGGGTGACATCTTCCGGTGAGGCTGGGACATTAGCACCTCATGCCCGTGCTTGCAGGCCCCTCACATCAGCCACTGCTCCTTCTCCTTGATGAAGTGCTCTGCCCAGCGGCGCGTCAGCTCCAGGTACAGGCTGGGCTGATGGGGCAGGTAATCCAGATACAGCCGAGTCGGCGTCTTCTTGGGAATGGCCTTCTCAATCTGGGTGCCCTCGTGCCACTCATTGAAAGAGGTGATCGAGACAATCTCGGGCCTCACTGTCAGGGCCGCCTGCAGGGCTGTCTCATAGTACTTGCCATTGACCCTGTTTCGCGTATTGTGGTTGTTCCAGGGCCGGATGCTGGTGTCGATGTAGCCAGGCCCTACGCTGGGAATGAACATGAGGTTGTTGGCATCACAAAAGTTCTTCACAGCTTTCCAGTTCTGATGGGAGGAGCCGAAGGAAAAACCGTTGGAGGCAAAGTAGGTGTACATGCCATCAAATCCAGCGGCCAGGATGTCGTGGGTGTGGCCCTCCTCCACCAGCAGTGCTATGAAGACCCCATCGTAGGGGGTGTTGCGGATTGAGTGGGGGCCGTTTGGTGTCAGGAGGTGGGCCCAGGCTTCGGGGGATGTCAGGTAGGAGTCGTAGATGTAAAAGAGTGGGAGGCTCTTACCCATGCTGTTCTTATAGCGGTAAAATGCACCATGGGAGCCATACCTGAGGAGCAGGAGAAAGAAGAGCCTGAGCCGGCAGCCTGGGATGAAAGAAGCCAGCACAGCTGGAGCGCCAGCCTTGGAGGAGATCTTTCCTGACGCCCAAGTACAATTTTGCATCCAGCCAGTCTCCACAGTTGGACTCATGCCTCTAAGCAACAACTGAGTTCCCTCTCTCCTTCCCTCTCCCCAGCCGTGTCATTCCTCTGTTCAAGCCTCACTTCCCTGCCTTAGGCCAAGCTACCACCATCTTCCGTCTTCCATCTGGACTGCACCCATCAACAGCCCCCTAAATGGTCTCCCGGCCCCCACTTCCACCTCCCTGTAATCCAGTAAATCAGATCTGACTGCTCCTTACCAAGACCTCCACAGCCCCATTTACTCCATGTGGCCCTGTCCACCTCCATTCCTGCTATTACGCCAGCTATCTTTACACTGTGGCTACACTGGCTGCTGTCAAGCTTCACCCATGGTATGGCCTTTGGAGCTGACAGCTCTCTGCCTGGAGTTTTCTGCCTGCCCCAGATCTTTGCAGAGCCGACTCTCCATTCAGATGCTGGCTCACATGTCGTCTCAGAGAGCTTCACTTGACCACCCATTCTAAAGTAGTTTCTTGGGCACATGCTAACACAACACCCTGCTTTATTCTGATACTAGGTTTTCATAGCATGAATCACTGTATGATTTGTCATCTGTAACTACTGTCTGCTCTACTGTATCGCCAACACACACTAGAAGGTAAATTTTGCTAGTCCTACCTATTACTGTACAACTGGGACTTAGGACAGTGCCTGGACACCTGAAGGCACTCAATAAATATTTTTTGAATAAACGAATGAATGAAATGTGCAAGCACCGTACAAGCCACTTTCACCTATATCAGCTCATGTAACTCTCACGAGACTCAGGTTAAGAGGCTGACCTCCAATCACAAATTGGAGGCCACAGAACTAGAATTCAAACCCAGGGTGCCATCTCCAAGCCCAGTACTCTTTTACTATAAAACAGTTGCTGGGGACACAGGCATTCTGCCCTTTTTTCTCTTAACCTGCACCTCCAAATCTTCTTTCCCTGCCCCCATTTTGACCCCCACCAAAGTCCAGGCCCCAGAGCAGCCTTACGTGTCAATAATGTACTTGATGTTGTCATGCAGAGTGATGTCATCCCGGCCCTTGTAGGGTTGGATGTGGAAGGCCACCTGCCACAAACAGAGGAGATACTGGTCAGGTGAGGATCTGTCCAAGGGCCACAACCTATAAGGCTCGTGCTCCAAACATGGCCTGAAGAAGAGGCTGAGTTCAGGAGAGACCTGGCAGTCGTGGGCACAATATAAATGAAAGCAACCACTGCCCTCAGGGCCAAAAAAAGGAGGACAGAAGTTTTTCCATCTCCTACAGCAGGGCCTCTGGGAATCATTCTGATGGGCTGTTGCAGGATGGCTAACAGGTTTCAAGTGATGTGCCAGCTTCCAGTGATTGGCACTAGCTGCCTGAAACTGTGGGAAGAAGCATACTGAAGCTGTGTCAATGCAAAAATGCGCCAGATTCGTTTAACGTGTCAGTGATGGGCTTGGGAACAGGAGTGGGGCTCCTCTTCATCCTTTTTCTTCTTTGCCATGGGTGAGGGGAATGACTTATTTGACTGGTACATAAGGGGTAAACAACCGGACAGCTTTAGCCCTCCTCTTGAAAGTGAGCCTGCCCGCTAAGAGTACATGTTGTGCTTTACTCCCTGAAGCCTCCCACTAGGGAGTTGAGGGCTTGTCTGCCCTCTTTCCAGGGTCAGGGTCTCCAACCTTACCTCTATAACTATGATTTTTATTTAGTCTCCCAATTCTTATATATTTGGTTTTCCCAAATTTTTTTTTCAGAACTCAAAAAATAAGAGTGACATAGGCACTATTCATTAGACTCTCAACCCCAGCCCCGCACTTGCTGTGTATTTGCATACCTGCGCTAACGCCAAGATCTCTAGTAGGCACTATCCCTGTGGGCAGAAGAGGGGAACTCTCGAGAATGAGCCAGAGAGCATTTAATCTCTTCTTGGAGACTCACCTGGATGTTATACTGATGGGCGGTGTCCAGAATGGCGGGCACCAGGTCATCTGAGGGTTCCCCGTTATCATCAGCCATGCCAGGCGGATACCAGGACAGGACCAGAACGCCTGAGACACAACACAGAGGTTACTTGGGAGACACACAGTACCCTCACAACAGATTTGTTTCCTCACAAACCATCTTCAACTGCCAAACGGTTTCTTAATGAAACCTTGAGCGAGGCTCCTGCCAGGTTCTCTTCCTGCAACTCAGATCCCAGAGCCTCGCATCTTGGAGCTGTCCACGCCCGCGGTGCTGAAGCGCAGCAGCTGCGGGAAACCTAATATTTCCGGCCAGGAAGGGGCCTAAAGGCCCCAGCCGGCCTGTGGCCTGCATTAGCAAGCAGTTAAGCAAAGAGAAATGGGTGGACAATGCCACACCCACCTGGAAGCGACAGTCCTATCTCTGGAAGAGAGGCGCACCTCTGAGGTCCCACAGGGAGAGGAGCCCTGAGCGGAGGTCATTTTATGCTTCCCGTGGGAAATAACATTTGTCTCAACTGCCTGCTCCTCGAGACTGTAGAATCCTGAGGGATGGCCTCTGTGCTATTTATCTGTGAATACCTCCCACCATTGTATCTGGCATTCCATTTTTCCCCTATTCACTACACATTTCCAGAGAAACAGAAATGTACCGTAAAATCCAGCAGAATTCAGTGACAAAATCTGAAATAAGTGAGCCTCCCCACCCCAGCCTGCCTCCAGAGGGACTTCTTTTCAAGCAGAGTTCTTGATGAAAAGCTCCCGGGCCCCTTACTGCAAATAGAGCACAGTCCATCATGTAACGTGGGCAAACTTTCCTTTCTGTAGCCAACAAAAGTAGAAAGGAGTGCTGCTCTACTCTGTGCCTGGTGTGAAAGCAGAGGGTATCCCAGGTTCTACTGCTCTGAACCCCAGACTTCACTTACCCAAACCTAGAAACCCAACAGACATGAAGACTGCCCTTCTCTCCTCACTGTCCCTACCTGGGACAGCCCTGGTGCAAACGCCTTCCACTGGCCCTCCCAGCAATTCCGCTCTAGCAAAAAGCCCTGGATTGTGTTGGGGCAGAGGGCAGAGGTGGAGGATTCAATACTAGAAGATGGGGAGTGCCTCTTGGTGAGCATTGAATGAGAATTCTAGAAGAGAAGGGGTAAGAAGCCAGGCTGATCAGTAAATGGGACCAAAGGCTGGGTGATAGGAGCAGTGGAAGTTGGGGTGTGGGAACGAATAAGGACGAGGCTGGGGGCCCAGGATTGCGGGGGACTGGAACTCACCGATGGCGGCTTCCTTTAGCTGGGTCATGTGCTCCCGCAGGACGTCGGGGTCCCGGGAGCTGTAAGGCCCCAGTTCTGGGTAGAAGCTGGAGCCCAAGTCATCGGGGGGGCTGTGTCGTCCGCGGGGATAGCTGGCCGAGATCTTGGGGTCCCAGTGCGGCACCATGACGTGGTCCCAGTGAATGTAGTGGCCCTCACGCCGCGGGCTCCCGTACCACGAGTAGTAGAAGGCGTGCAGGTCCGAGTAGACGCGCAGACTCTGCCCGGGAGCGGGCTCGGCCTCCGCGGGGGCCGGCCCC